AGGTGCTAGTTTCAAATCCTTTTTAGTCTGAAATCTGTATGCTAGATATTGAGTAAGGTGGTCTTATTGTTTTTTGTCACTTTGAATAATATTTCTGTTCATGTTAAAAACAAAATCAACTCTCTGTATAAATATATCAGGTGACCGTTAAGGCCCATGGGCCTCTTGTTCAGTTGTCAAACCTTGTGTGACTATCTAAGTCCAAGCGATGTGGTGTGGCAGAGAAGATTATTTGATTAAATAACTAATTACTCCATTGTCATCTAGCTGCCAGTTTGACATGTGTGTCACCGAGTTAAGCATAGCCGTCACCATATACTCAATTGCCTACATGTGACCTCGACTGCATAATTTTTTCATTAGATGGGCAAGAACGCCTGTTGATTAGATTTGGCATCATGAAAGGGTGTCCGAAGAATTGAAAAAAAGACTCATCAAAATCGCATTTTGATCACAATGATTTCAAAAGCCATTACCTGGTAAACAAAACAAAAAGTTACCTCTTCATTAACGACATTCTATAACATGGTGTTCAGATGTTCTTTGCTAAGAAACCTTTCATTGGATAATAATGTAATCTAATCTTAACTTAAATGTACATTTCCTGTGTTGGGTTTTGAATGCGAGGTTGGACATTCTGTCATGCAAGGAAATATAATATATTTTAGGAAAATTCCGGGTTAAGAAGGAGGAGCCCAACCATTATGACTCGGAGACGGAAGTAGAAAGCGATAGTTCAGAGGAAGAGGAGGTTATTAAACCCTCAAACTCCCAAAGGGGGCAACCTACAAAATCTTCAGCTTCCAAACCTGCTCAGGCCAAAATCAATGTCAAAGGTATGTGTAATCAACTGTTAGGGCAGAGGTGATCAGTAGGACCTGTTTGTCAGAGTTACATCTCTTGGTTGAATACACAGGTATTATTGACTTATGTGTAGTTGTGTCAGCACTTGGCTGAATGCATCTAAGTATTTGTAACATAACTGTGGAGTTCTGGAGTAATAGGGCTTTTTGATGAATACACATGTATATTTGACTGATTGTGTTGTTCGCTCTCACCTGAATAAATGTTAGTGACCTGCTGTCATGATTGTCATTTTTCCCACAACCACTGTAGGTTTCCTCACTCCTGTCTCATCGGATAAACCTGCAAGGAGTTGGTTAACATTTTTGGTTACCCACTAGTGGGTAACACCATGGACGTGATTTCATTGGTCAATTTATTACTTATGATGTCACATAACAATGCCTTGCGACATCATCTTCTATTGTGACATCATGATTCACGGCAATTGTTTACCCCCATCGGAAGCCGACAAAGTGTATTTTCAAGGGATGCCTATGGCTTTCCAGATAAAATATGAACGTTATGGGAGAAAAAGGACCCCAAACTCGTGATGGTAGGTTATCATGTATACCTAACACTTGATTGTTAATTTTCAAATTATAAAAGACACTCGGTAAACCTCGTGCCTTGATACAATTTGAAAATTAACTAACGAGAGTTAGATAAACGTGAAAACCAACCATCACTCGTTGGGGAACCTCCATTTCTCAGATAGCTACAAGGTTATGTATCACCAGATCTTTGTACATGAAGTAACAGCGACCTTTTAGTTTACAATTCCTGTTTGGCTTTTTGATCAAGAAAGATGGAATTAGTGCTTCAAATAGCAAACCTCTACTTCAACTGTTTTAAAGGAATAAATAACCTAATATTCCTCAATTTAATGAAACTTTTTCGATAAAATTGATATCTGGTATACCACAAATTAAATGTTATAAATACAAAATTATGTATGTTCCTCTTACAGGCAAGCAGTCAGCTACATCAAATGGCCAGCACAAGACGAGAGCAGCTACAGGAACAATCAAACCAAGACGCTACTGTGTCGATGGATCCTTCAATGACAATGAAAAGTTATCCAAAACTGCAGCACTATCACATTCATCTTTATCCTCATCATCTTCAACAGAAGTTGACTCTAATAACAGTAGTTCATCTAGTTCATCATCAGATTCTGATTCAGACTTGTCATACAATGGGATGGAGGCCAAGCCTCCAAGACACACTAAGAGATGTAAACCTGTTCGACCCTCAGTCAAACCCAGGTTAAAAGCTTCTGATAATGGATTTGTAATAGATAGAAACAAAAAGAAAAACCAAACCAATTCCAGGGTGAAAAAAACAAGTGACGGTGCTACCTCATATGGGCGAACAAAATCATCAGGGACAGGTAAGCGAACGACGAGGAATCAGGGTCGCCAGACAGTGAGGTATCAGGAGGACAGTGATGGTGAGCCTGAGGATTCTTGGAATCTAGAAGGGTCAGGGTCAGGGTCAGGGTCAGGCACTGACTCTGACTACAGTGAAGGACATGATAGGCCTGACATAAGCACAAGTAGTAGGGGGCGTGTCAGGAAACTAACGGCCCGAGCCAGGGCAAGTCTCATGGGAGAATAAAGATGGGCAAAGTGGGGAGGGAAGGGCCAGTGAATTTAGTCCGGTGTTACATATTACTCTGCAGTCAATACTTACCTCTGTCTACCTGGAATAAATACTAGAAATGAAAAAGATTTGGTCTAAAACCTTCATGCAGAAATAGATCCAAAACTAATGCAAATCATGTTAAGAATCGTACAATAAAAACATTTGCCACCTTGTCAAGGAAAACTTAATCTTGCTATGGAAGTTTACATCACAAAAAATGGGGTTTAATATAGATATACTTTTGCCCACTCCTTAAAAATATTTATATATTATTCTCAATTCAAGTGCAAAAACTGTCAATTCAATTACTGAAACTCTTTTTGACAAATGTGTCTGTAAAGTTAACATTGCTAATTCAAAACGCTGATGAATTAAAAGGTACTGGTGCCATTTTTGAACAAATCTACTTGACAGGAGGACTTTGATCTCAGTGTCCATTGTATGTGTAGTTAGTTATCAATATGGTGGACCGGTATAGATATATCACTCGTTCAGAGTTATACTTCAAACTGTAAGCAAGAACTTATGTTGTAGTTGTGTTCAGGCTCTGAACAAATAAGATGATAAATATTTGTGCAATGAATCGAAGTGAACAAGTATACAATCAATTACTTGTATATATGTTTACAGTCAACTATACTGGGATCAAGGACAACTTGCCAATCATTTACTTGTGTTTACAATCCGCTATACAGGACAAATCGCCAATCATTATTCATAGTGTGATGATTTGTAACTGCTTTAAATCTGTAAGAACTTGGAGTGATTGAAGAAATATCAATGGGCTTAGAAGGGAAATATGAAGTTTTGAAGAGGGACATTATGAAAACAACATGGAAATCTCAATAGAATCACCAAGTAAAGGAAGTATATATTTTCAAATAACAATGTTGTACAGTTNAGGAACATTCAGCTTATCGTGCATGGTAGTTATAAGCCATCCCTATTGGTATTTCACCTAAGTTCACAATAGGAGCATTCAGCGCTTATCGTGCATGGTAGTTATAAGCCATCCCTATTAGTATTTCACCTAAGTTCACAATAGGA